TTTGTTTTTGTTATTTCCTTCTAGTTTTATTTGTATGAAGATCTAGTGTGTGGACAGCCGACATTGCTGTGTGTATAAAATTTTCTGTTGTTTGCCAGTAGACATATTGGTGACCCTTTTCTTGGGATACAGTCTTTATTTTTTTTTCCTTTTAAAAATTTATTTTAGAAGCATTCTTATTTACATATCAATCTTCCCATTCCCTCACCCTCCCATGCTTCCCACAGACCCCCCTAACTCACCCCCCACCCACTCCCCAGGGATAGTGAGGCCCTCTATGGGGGACTATCAAGTCTGTCACATCATTTGGGGGAGGGCTCAGGCCCTCCTTCCCATATCTGGGATGCAATAGTATCCCTCCATAGGAAATGGGCTCCCAAAATCCTTTTGTGTTCTAGGGATAAACACTGGCTCCACTGTTAGAGGTCCCATAGACTGCCCCGGCCTCCCAGATGGCACCCACATTCAGAGGGCTTGGTTTGATACAATGCTGATTCCCCAGCTCTATGACTAGGGTCTGTCACTAGGTCAGGTCAACTGTGGGTTTCTCCAGCACTGTCTTGAGATACAGTCTTTATAACATTATTGGTAGTTCAGTCCTAGTTCTGATGCTACACTTCAAGTGGACAGGCCATAATTGCTCTATATTTAAAAAATAGTCTACTCTTTACATATTATACCAGAACTCTATATGCATACATATACTTGTGTATTATACTACATATAAAGTCTATTTAAAAATAGGATAGATCAGCACTCAGGAGGCAGAGGCAGGAGGATCTCTGTGAGTTTGAGGTCATGGTGAGTTCCAGGACAGCCAGGGCTGCACAGAGAGACCCTATCTCAAAACAAACTAAAACCAGGATAGATGAGTGTCTGTTCCACACCTGCAGCCCCGGCTTGTCAGTTGTTAAGGCACAAGGATGGCTCGAGTCCAGGAATTCAGTCATTCTGGGCAACACTGCAAGATGTCGTCTCAACAAAAAGGAAAGGAATGGATGATCTAAAACTACTGAGGACAGGAAGAAAAAGGAGGGAGTATTTGATTGCCTAAGAGCCGTGAAATCCTGTAATTTTATTTTGCAATAGACTTCTATCTGAAGTGCTTTATTTAAACTTCCTATTTCTATCTCCAAGAAAAAAGTGGTGTGCGACAGGCGTGTGGAGGCTTGCTACACTATTGTCTACTTTTGTGTATGTTTAAATTCTTCTCTAAGTAAAAGGCTTTTAAAAATGGAATTTTCTCAACAAAAAGATTTTCCAGTACCCTTGGGAACAGCACAAAATATCTCTTGCTGAGCATACATGACTGTGGGGACCTCGGAGGAGAATTGTGCCTGAGAACCAGTGTTTAGGAGGTGACTGGGACCAGCAGGCCCATGAGCAGAGAGGGACACAGCTGCAGACCCTTTTTGGACATCTGGGCCCCTGGTGAGAGATCCTCTTTGAAGGACAGAGGAGGAAGGGGCAGACAGACAGCAGCCTTCCCATGGCTGTGGTCACAATTCGGTGGGGTGGTCATACCTTCTTGCCCTACCAGGCCAAAGCCCATGGAACTGCTGATGGGTCTGTGACAGTTCAGTCACCAGGTTATGTGTTCCAGTGAGCATCCTGACAGTATTCAGACACCAAGGTGCTTTGCCCTGGAAACCTCAAGATGTCACTGCCTTTTTTTTTTTTTTTTTTTTTTTTTTTTTTTTGTCCCAGGTGCCACTACCCAGGTCCAGCCGCTCTGGTCTTCTGGTCAGGCATCCCTTTGGCTTGCCTTGGGTTATTGTTCTGTTGAGGCATCCAGTCTTCCTCTTCGGTCAGTGGTTGTCTGTTTGCCCTGTGCATCAGACAGCACAATGGTGGTGGAAAGCCTATTCTTACTCAAGTCTCAGGATTCCAGGGGGACAAGAGAAACAGGGCATGGTGCTGTGAGAGCCAGCTGACCAATATCCAATTAATGGAATGCTTACACAGTATCTTTTCATGCTTAGCTGTCTGTGGTTTGGATAGTGTGTGGTCTCAGTATCCACAGACCTCCTGACATGTCAGAAAAACACAATAAATCAATAGAGCTAGCTCAGTGGTTAAGAACACTTGCTTCCCTTCCAGGGGACCTGGGTTCAGTTCCAAGCACCCACATAGTGGCTCACAACTGTCTCTACTTCCAAAGGATCCAGCGCCTTCTTCTGGCCTCCCTGGGCCAGGCAAAAGCATAGTGTGTATTCACACACTGAGGAATGCATATAAACAGGCTAAATGAATAAGAAGATAAGGAAATAAATCTTAAGAACACAGCAATGCAAATAGGTCCATATCTATCGCCATGTGCAAAACTCAAGTCCAAATGGATCAAAGACCTCAATATAAATCCATCCACCCTGAACCTCATAGGAGAGAAAGTGAGAAATACATTTGAATACATAGACACAGGAGACCACTTCCTAAATAAAACACCAGTATCACAAACTCTGAGAGCAACAATTAATAAACAGGACCTCCTGAAACTGAGAAGCTTCTGTAAGGCAAAGAACACGGTCAACAAGACAAAATGGCTCCCTACAGAATGGGAAAAGATCCTCACCAACCCCACATCTGACAGAGGGATGATCTCCTAAATATACAAAGAAATCAAGAAACTAGAGGTCAAACTACCAAATACTCCAATTAAAAAATGGAGTACAGATTTAAATAGAGAATTCTCAACAGAACAATCTCAAATGGCAGAAAGACACAGAAATGCCCAACGTCCTTAGTCATCAGGGAAATACAAATCAAAGCCACTCTGAGATTCTATCTTACACCAATCAGAATGGCTAAGATCAAAAACACCAATAACAGCTTATGCTAGAGAAGATGTGGAGAAAGGGGACTCCCTTTCTGGTAGGAGTGCAAACTTGTATAGCCTCTGTAAAATCAGTATGGTGATTTCTCAGAAAATTAGGGATAAACCTACCTCAAGACTCTGCAATACCACCATTGGGTTTATATCCAAAGGAGACACTTTCACACCACAGGACATTTGCTCAACTATGTTCATAGTAACCTTATACATAATACCTAGATCTTAGAAACAACCTAAATGCCCCTCAACTGAAGAATGGATAAAGAAAATGTGGTATGTTTACACAATGGAGTACTACTCAGAGATAAGAAACAATGACATCCTAAAATTCTCAGGCAAATGGACAGAACTAGAAAAAAGCATCCTGAATGAGATAACCCAAAACCAGAAAGACAAATTTAAAATTTAGTATGTACTCACTCATAAGTGGATACCAGACATAAAGCAAAAGTTACCCAGCCTACATCTACAACCCCAGAGAAGCTAGAACCCTCTTCCAGAAACAGGTGGAAGCAAATGCAGAAATCCACAACTAACCAATAGGTCAAGCTCCTGGAGTACAATCGAAGTGAGGGAGGAGTGATAATATGAACCAAGAAGTCAAGATCATGACGGGGAAATCCACAGAATCAGCTGGCCTGAGCTAGTGAGAGATCACTGACTCAGGTCTGACAAATGGGGAGCCTGCATAAGACTGAACTAGACTCCCTTCATATAGGTGACAATGGTATGACTGGGACAACATATGAGACCACTGGCAATGGGTCCAAGATCTAACACTAATGCTCAAACTGACTTAGTGGAGCCCATTCTATATGGAGAGATACCATGCATAGCCTAGACACAGGGGTGTGGGGGTTGGAGAGGTGCCTTGGTCCTGCCTCAACTAGATGATGGGACTGACTTAGTAGACTTCCTAGGGAAGGCCTTACCCTCTCTGAGGAGGAGGTGGGGGTGGGGGGTGGGGGGAGCGGGAGGAGAGAATGGAAGAGGAACTGGGATGGGAACGTAAAAAATAAATTAATAAAAAAATTATCCCCCCCAAACCACAACAAATGTTTTCTGAGTAGATAAAAGTTCTAGCTGGGCGTTGGTGGCGCACGCCTTTAATCCCAGCACTCGGGAGGCAGAGGCAGGTGGATCTCTGTGAGCAACCACATGGAAGCTCACAACAATCTGTAAAAAGATCTGGTGCCCTCTTCTGGCCTGTAAGCATACATGCAGAAAGAACACTGTATATGTAATAAATAAATACATCTTTAAAAAGATGAGGAGAGAGAGAGAGAGAGAGAGGAAAGAGAGAGAGAGAGAGAGAGAGAGAGAGAGAGAGAGAGAGAGAGAGAGAGAGAGAGAGAGAGAGAGGGAGAGAGAGGACAGGGCTGGAAAGATTGCTCAGCATTTAAGAGCACATCTTGCTCTTGTAGAGGATCTGAGTTTGATACCCAGAACCCTATGTCCAGCAGCTCACAACTACCTATAATTCTAGCCCCAGGGGCTCTGTCATCCTCTTCAGGCCTCCCTGGGCACTGTACTCATAAGACAGACATACAGAGACATACAGACCACACACACACACACACACACAAATAGAAATAAGTCTTTGAAAAAAGAAAATATAGAGCCGGGAGGTGGTGGCACACGCCTTTAATCCCAGCACTCAGGAGGCAGAAGCAGGCGGATCTCTGTGAGTTCGAGGTCGGGCTGGACCGATAACCTCCAAAACAATACAGAGAAACCCTGTCTCATAAAAACCAAAAAAAAAAAAAAAAAAAAAGGTTCATTTCCTAGGTTGTTTTCTAGTGTTTGTTCACAGACAACATATTTTAATAACTATTATTTACCTGGAAATCACATGCTTATTTTTTAAGTGGAAGAAAAAGAAAACAGTTTCCAAGGCACAAATTAGAAAGAAAAGAAAAAGAAAAAAGGCAGAAAATGGAGTTAATGCTCAGTAACAGAGTGGTGTTTTCACCACGTGACTCAAGTCATCCAGGTGTCTGTACACTAGGTGCTTTTGCTGACTGCTGAGGAAAGATAAACTCAAATATTAAACCACCTGGTGTGCCTAAAACATGGGCCAGTTTTCAGATTGATTTTTTTCTGACATAAAACCCAAGTTACAAGACATCGCAAATAAATTATTTCTTGCATTTTCTTCTTATATCAGAGACCTGAGGCTTCCACTAGTAACAGAAGAATCTTAGACATCTACTACCTGAGGCAGAAGCCCGCAAAGGGAGTCAGGTAAAGCCTGATATTCCTGTGTCCTAGGGTCTTGGGCATGCTAGCCAAGAGCTCTACCCTAAACTGCATTCCCAGCCTCAGGTAAAACCTTTGGTAGCATAAAAAGACAGATATTATTGGGAAGTGGGATTCGTTATACAGATGTCGGTGAAGGGTTTGAACCTGAAGGGAACCTGCTGAGAGAGAAGACAGGCTAGTGATACTGCAAAATTTCAAAGCCAAAGTCTGTATCTCATCATTCATATTTGGAGATTAAAAGAACAGGTGTTGGAAGGTGGAGGGTGTTGACAGGATGTCAACCAGACCAAAACCCAAGTCCTCATTTGTAGTCATCTGGAGAGATTTGTCACTGGTTGCGTTTTGGAAACTGGTTAAGAGCTAGTATTTTTAAAGGGACATGGCTCTGGTAAAAGCTAGACTAGAGGTGAGTTTATTAGCCAGAAGTGGGGTCTAAGGTGTGGTTCAGTGGGAAAGCATGAGGTCCTGGGTTCAATCTTCAAATGCCAACCAATGATTCAACCAAACAACAACCCCCCTAATGTTCTAGAAAATTCCATAACTATTTTGGGGAAACTGGGGGTGTTTAAGACATGATCGCATGTATCACAGGCTGCTTTGAGTTTGCTCTTTAGCTAAGGATGACTTTGAACTTCTGACCCTTCTGCCTTCTCTGGTTAGCCTTTGTAACTTCTGAGGAAACATTAGTTGGTCTTGCAGGATTAGATTAGCCAGAACATAAAGTCAGAGGTTACACAGGTGGTACAGCAGGTACCTAGCGCTAAACCTTCCTGTTGTTTTAAATGTTGATTTTAAGGACGACAGAAAAGCACTTCCATGTGTACCCAGAATGGTGGTGTTGGGTCTGTACAGAGAGGAAGACAGGGCCTGTTATGACTCTGTCGCATGTACAGCTTCCCATTGGGGGACCCAGAGACCCTAAGTTTCTGGAACCAGGCTTTGCCAGCGTTGTGTGTTTCAAAGGCTGTTAACAGTGGAAGGAAATGCGCGGTGCCGAGAGACCTGACTTTGAGAGATACTGACATTAACACAGGTTTTCAGAGGGTCTAGGGCTGCTCCCATGGGCCACCTGATTGCACACATTTCCCTAAGAGGTGATGAGGAAGCAGCTGGTTACATTCCTAGGAGCCTCTGAAATGTTTCCACAGGTATGCTGCAAGACCGATTCCGCGAATCAGTCATGGGTGTGCCACCAGAAAGGACTACTGCCAAGAGAACCAGAGCCTGCAGAGCAGCTTCCTGAGCCAGAACCCTGGCAACAGCTTCCCATGGAGCTTGAAGCTGGCCATCCTTGGCATTTTCATCATTGTGCTGTTTGTCTACATAACTGTAGAAAAGAAGCCGCTCATGTCTTAAACACTTCTTGCAAAGCGGAAGGGCCAGAGCTACAGCCAGGCAGCCCTCCCAACCCTTGTCCTCCAGGCTCCCCGCCCTACGCTGGCTCTCCTGGACTGTATCCGGGTTCAGCTAGGTGGAGGAGCAAGGGCAGAACCAGGCAGCATGCTAGGTGCATGATGGTCTGTAAGTCAAGTAAACCATCATTAAAGGTGCTAACCCAGCAGAGCGCTCTCTGTAAAGGAAACTGCCTGGGCCCTTTCCTCCCCTCCTCCCCTTGTTCCCTCCCTATCCTGCTTCTATCCCAAAGAAGTTTCATATTCTTATAGCGGACCACTTGCTAGTACAGAACATAGAAGCAAAAAAAAATTACATTCTTAATAAAATGTGTCCAACTATCCAGATAGTGGTGACATTTCCAGTTTGGCATGGCGATGACAGTGACCTTGGTAGAGCACAAATCAGTTCCTCCCTGGCTGCAACTCCTCAGCATCAGACAGGTTTTTTCCCAGTGACTGACTGCACCTGACTTCATCTCTGGTTTTCATTAGAGTCCTTTGGGGAAGAGGACGATTTTTCCGTTTTCTGTTGGGGCTCTGTGACTTTTCCTGGGAAGATGGAAGTAAGTGTCTGTTTGTCCCAGATAGGACACAGAAGATAGAAAATCTGGGGATCCAGTCTAGCTTGGGAACCAACTCATTTATTGTGGTTATTACAGGTGCATGAATGAAGCGCTCCTCCAGAGCATGGTGAGGATTCAGGAAAGCAATGCTTCTAGAGCTCCGGTAGAGCTTGCAGACAGCTCCTCCAGAGACGTTCCTCTCTCCAGCGATTGTTTACTGCTTCCATGAGCTCAGAGAGGGGCCTCACAGGCTTGTAGGTTTCCTGTGAGTTATTGAAATTGTCTCTTGAGTTTTATGAGCCTTCCTCCCTCCCTCACAGATGGAATGTTTCCATCTGCAGACAGAAGTAGCTACCCGGAATCATTTGACCCTCAAAATCTATGAGAACGCAGCAAGGGACAGAGGTAAGTGCGTGTGGGGATGGACAATGAGGGTAAGCCATAGATCACATTTTAGTCACTGCTGGGGTGGAGCAGCCATGGAGAGGGGGTGGAGCGGCCATGGAGAGGAGAGGATGGTTGGGCTGGAGATTAGAGGTAGAGCAAGCCTGGTAAGTGTGAGGTCTGGACTCCAGCCAGGGTCAGAGAGGAAGAAGTACTGTAGCAATTTTTATGGCTGCTAAAGCAAACCCTAAATAAATGAACAATAATGGGGACTAGTTTAATAAACAGAGATGAAGTGATAATAATTGAAATTTTTCTTTTCCTTTTTTTTTTGTTTTTTCGAGACAGGGTTTCTCTGCAGCTTTGGAGCCTGTCCTGGAACTAGCTCTGTAGACCAGGCTGGCCTCGAACTCACAGAGATCCATCTGCCCCTGCCTCCCAAGTGCTGGGATTAAAGGAGTGGGCCACCATTGCCTGGCCCACAAAAATATTACATTCTGTATATACTGTGTATATTTCAAGGAACACAAAAACGCTACTGAGGTTTGCTTAAGCAAACAGTTTAATTCCTGCCATAAAAGTTTGGAGTTTAAAGTATGTAAGATTATTGAAAACAAGTAAATAGGATCTTATTCAAATGAATCAACTCTAGAAAATACTCTCGTCACCCGCTAGCTAGCAACTTGGCTCTGCCTGGAGAGAAACCTTGGGGTGGATGTGAGGAAAGCTGTTCAGACGCTGGCCTCTAGAAGCTGGGGTCTCCTCCAGCAGCAGGTGGACGCAGCAGCTGACGTGCTGGCCTCAAGTATCAGGTCCCTTGGCCCCAGCAGCAGCCAGTGTTACTGCTCAGTGTGAGACCCTTAGCTCCGAAGACCTCACAGCTCTCCGGAACTCTTGTTGCAGTTGGAGCCTGCAGGTTGTTCTCCTCTCGGGACCCTCACAGCTTTAATCAGCTCTCTACTTTCTGGCCACCTCTCCTCCACTTCCCCTTTTCTTCTCTTGGTCACCGTCGAACTCGCAGCTGCTCCTTCGGTTGTCCATGGCTGCCGGTAGGATGGATAACTCAGTACTCGTCTTTGCTAGGAAAGCATTTGGGAGCCAAATGCCTAGAGGGTCACTCAGCAGCTGGGCCTTGGTGTAGCTAGGATCACACAGACCTGCACATCCCAGAGGTGGGATGCTTATGAGCAGATGGGCTCTCTGGGTAGATCAGCAGGGGGTCCCAGGCCACACTGCTGTGCCGGCATCACCAGATGGGGCCCAGATTTCTTCAGGTAAACACCTTTTTAGCTGCCAAGTGGTCTTGTCAAGGCCTCCCCCAACCCTTCTTTTGGGTATTTTGGGCTGTGAAGCCAAGACTGCTCCACTGTGCTGCCCAGGCAAGGTGCAGATGTTCAGCTTTTAAGTCATGGGGTGGTGCTTATGACCCCAAAGAACAGGCTGGTGCAAAGTCTTTAGTTTCAAGTCACTGTCCAAGCATGGGTGTGGCTGGTGCTCCTTAATGTCATACCGCCTCCCCCATTGTCACACTGCTGCCATCCTCACTGTCACCATGCTGTGCTGCTTCTTCATATCCAGTGTGGCCTGCACTTCTGAAAAACCACTTGGGATTAATCTCTGTTTCATGGATAGTGCAATACCAGGTGTTGTGGGAGACTTACTCAGGTAGTGACTGATGATAGATCAAAGTAACAATTATACCAAAATCCAGCTCAATAAACCAATATGCTTATTGGAGTCAGGAACAGGGTGACTCAAGGGCAGCTGCACCATTGGAAAGCCCACCCCATCAGGAGAGACAGCTCAGGAAAGTTGCAACCCTGGAGTACTCTGAGCACAGCACAGACAGCTTGATGGGTCAACGTCTTCCAGGAGCTCCACTCCCTCTCCCCAGCTATGGTTCTTCTTCTTTTCTTCCTCCTCCTCTTCCTCCTCCTCCTCCTTCTTTTCCTTCTTCCTCTTCCTCTTCCCCTCCTCCTCTTCCTCCTCCTATTCTTCATCATCATCTCCTTCCTACTCTCCCTCCTTTCCTCCTTCCTTCCCTCTCTCTCTCTCTCTCTCTCTCTCTCTCTCTCTCTCTCTCTCTCTCTCTCTCTCTCTCTTCCAAAACAGGGTTTCTCTGTGTATCCCTGGCTGTCCTGGAACTCACTCTGTAAACCTGTCTGGCCTCAAACTCACAGAGATCCTCCCACGTTCTGAGATTAAAGGCATGGGCCACCACCTCCCAGCTCGGTTTGCTGCTTCTATATCTTGAAGCTTGTTCGTTTTAGTTTCCTCAGACAGTGATGTTTGTATACTTCCTGCATCTCATATGAGCCTTCCTGCTCCTTCCTGAAGGGACCTTTCAACTTAAGATTTTCTGAGTCTTAAGGAGCCCCTCCAGGATGATGTTTTATTCCCAGTAAACTGTTATATCAGGGTAGGTGACACAGGATGTCTCCCAGTCAGTGCACTAGGTGAACTGAAGGAATCTCTTACATATCTAGGGATGGATTGTTTAGTTGAGTCACAGCCTGGTGTGTAACACTAATCAGCCTTTCAGACTTGTGTTTGGGACCAATCGTAAACTTCCCATCAGTCATAGAAGTCCTTCCATTGGATAAGTGTGCCCCCAGTGACCAAATTAGAAATGGTTCTTCCAGGCTTGTGGTAGCACAAGTCTGACCCAAACTGAGGCTCCTCCTCTTAGCTGCTGTCTTTTGCATAGTTGTCCCAAGGCATCTATGAAGTGATGGCTGGTGCTGGTGTAAGGGTAGTCCGGGCAGCTGTTAACAGACGGTTCTTTTGCTCAAGACAGCTTGGGCAGTAAGGGAGAGTTCAGCTGCTAACTAATGAGTCAAATAGTCCCAGCCCCAACAACCTTGCTTACTTACAAGGAAATGAACATAGGAGTGACCACAAAATAAAGTCTTAGAAAGTATCACTAATGATAACAGCAATTTAAAAAATGTCCCAACAACCCTTTATACCCACTCAGTGCCCAGGGACACATCTCATTTGTGGGGCTGGAGAGATGATTCAATGGTTAAGAGAACTTACTGCTCTTCCAGAGGGTCTAGGTTCAATGCCCTCTTATGGTCCCTGCAGGTACTGCATACACATGGCGCACAGGCATTCATGCAGACAAAACACTCGTGTGTGTGTGTGTGTGTGTGTGTGTGTGTGTGTGTGTGTGTGCACATGTGGGTGACAGCTTGTGCATTCGCCTTTGCGCACGCACTAGTTGGTTCTACACTTCCGAATCCTGGAATCAGTTGAAAGAAAGTGCACGTTACCTAGTTTCGTGATTTGCCACTCTAGGGCTTCTTCACTGGCCAGCAGTAGCTCAGACCTCCTGCTCACCTCAACCTGCTTGCTGTTTTGTTTTTTGTTTTGTTTTGTTTTTTGAGAAAGTATCACACTCTGATGCCCAGCTGGCCTGAGAGTACCAAAAACATCAGGTTCAGCCACTTGCCTAAAAGCCATATAATGGGTGCACATAGCAAGTTCCAAGCCAGCCATGGCCACAGAGTGAAACCCTATCTTAAAAACAAAACAAAAATAACACCACCAAACGAACAACAGAACAAATGGGCAGTGATGGTGAAGAACAGGTGAGGACGTGAGTCTGCACAGAGGTGCAGACAGAACAGGGAAGGAAGGCACAAATGAGCCTCAGTCAGAGTTGGTCAGGTGGGCCTTGTTGAAAGCGAAAAGCCATGGCTGCCTGGGGGTGGCTTCCACTCCGGTCAGATCTGTCGTTCCTGGAATCTAAGGTGAGCATAACCCAGAGCAAAGAAGAGAGGTGCAACGGGGAGGCAGAGATGCCACGTTCTTAACCTGCTGTTAGTTCCCCAAAGGCCGCCTGCAGGCCCAGGTGAGGAGTGAGCCAAAGCGGCCTGTGAGTCCTGTGAGTCCTCGCTACTGAGCCCAGCTGGGCAGGAGCGCAGAGAGGCTGGGACTGAGCGGCCTGTGAGTCCTCGCTACTGAGCCCAGCTGGGCAGGAGCACAGAGAGGCTGGGACTGAGCTGTTACCTGTGGAATCTTTTCCTCTCTCCAGGGAGATAGTGTCAGAGCTGAATCAGGACAATCAGCTGGTGTCTGCTGGGGAGTGTGGCAACAGCATTGCTTGGCACGTGGGGAGGAAACTCATTTATCAGCTGTCAGAAGAGGCATGGTTTGTGACAGTAAAGACACCTTGGGTTTTGCCGTCTCTAATAGACACTGACAGGACTCAGGGAAGAGGAAGGTGAGGGATAAGTCTCAGAAGCCCGAGTATGCCAAGACTAGCTTCCAGAGTGGGACGAGCCTGTGTGTGGAAGACACCCAAGAGATACAGATTCAATAGCTGATTTACAATCCTGCG